GCTGTATATTGTCTCCCTGCTTATACTTATATGCAGAATTCATCATGCGAAAGGCTGGGCTGGATGAATCCCTAGCCGGAATTAAGATTGCCAGAAGAAATATCAACAACCTCAGATATGCAGATGACACAACATTGATGGCAGAAAGTGAGGAGGAATTAAAGAAGCTTTTAATGAGGGTGAAAGAGGAGAGCGCAAAATATGGTCTGAAGCTCAACATCAAAAAAATGAAGATCATGGCCAAGATCACCTCCTGGCAAATAGAAGGGGAAGAAATGGAGGCAGTGAGAGATTTTACTTTCTTGGGCTCCACGATCACTGCAGATGGTGTCAGCAGCCACGAAATTAAAAGACGCCTGCTTCTTGGGAGAAAGGCGATGGCAAACCTAGACAGCATCTTAAAAAGCAGAGACATCACCTTACCAACAAAGGTCCGTATAGTTAAAGCTATGGTTTTCCCAGTAGTGATGTATGGAAGTGAGAGCTGGACCATAAAGAAGGCCGATCGCCGAAGAATTGATACTTTTGAATTATGGTGCTGGAGGAGACTCTTGAGAGTCCCATGGGCTGCAAGAAGATCAAATCTATCCATTCTTAAGGAAATCAGCCCTGAGTGCTCACTGGAAGGACAGATCGTGAAGCTGAGACGCCAATACTTTGGCCACCTCATGAGAAGAGAAGACTCCCTGGAAAAGACCCTGATGTTGGGAAAGATAGAGGGCACAAGGAGAAGGGGACGACAGAGGACGAGATGGTTGGATAGTGTTCTTGAAGCTACCAGCATGAGTTTGACTAAACTGAGGGAGGCAGTGGAAGACAGAAGTGCCTGGCGTGCTCTGGTCCATGGGGTCACGAAGAGTCAGACACGACTAAACGACTAAACAACAAGTGGGGGGACACACATTAAAATAATGCATAAGTTGGTATCAAAAGTCATCATAGCTCCAGCAAACTCCTTATTGACTTGGCACTGTTAATGGAGAAATCTGAGGGCTCCCTTGGACAAAAAACAAGGACACCAGCCAGGAATACCAGAGCAAAGTGGCAGCCAGTAGGCTTGGTCTTTACTGAAGACTGTCGCGACAGGACTCCCACCTGCCACAAGGTAGAACAAGATGGAAGCCCCAAACAAAACAGCCCCTAAACTTTTATTAGCTGCTAATCCCCATGTTAAAGGTAAAGGGACCCCTGACCATTAGGTCCAGTCGTAGATGACTCTGGGGTTGCGGTGCTCATCTCGTTTTATTGGCTGAGGGAGCCAACGTACAGCTTCTGGGTCATGTGGCCAGCATGACGAAGCCGCTTCTGGCGAACCAGAGCAGCGCAAGGAAACGCCGTTTACCTTCCTGCCGGAGCGGTACCTATCTATCTACTTGCACTTTGATGTGCTTTCGAACTGCTAGGTTGGCAGGAGCAGGGACCAAGCAACGGGAGCTCACCCCGTCATGGGGATTTGAACCGCCAACCTTCTGATCAGCAAGTCCTAGGCTCTGTGGTTTAACCCACAGCGCCACCCGCATCCTTAATCCCCATGTTACACCCCCCCCAAACTACATCACTCATACATCACGGTTACATCATGAAAGGGGAGGTCTGGTGGCAGTAATCTGAGCATCTTGGACCCTGCCCCATGGTTCTCCTTGCCCTCCACCAAACACCCATCAAGTGTAACAAAAAGGATATTTACATTTCCCTGTTTCCAAGCCAAGTTAATCACACTCTTTTGTCTTCATCTGGGTTTGTTATTTCTGGAATGGCTGGCACTCAGGTATCAGGATGCCAGGGATTATCACTTAGGCAGAGGGGCTGCTGAGTAGCTGAGCTCACGTCTATATGAATTTCTGGTTTTCCAGTGAGCCGGTAAAGGTAAATGTAAAGGGACCCCTGACCATTAGGTCCAGTCATGGCCAACTCTGGGGTTGCGGTGCTCATCTTGCTTTATTGGCCAAGGGAGCCGTCGTACAGCTTCCGGGTCATGTGGCCAGCATGATTAAGCCACTTCTGGCGAACCAGAGCAGCGCACGGAAACACCGTTTACCTTCCCATTTACCACTTTGACATGCTTTCGAACTGCTAGGCTGGCAGGAGCAGGGACCGAGCAACAGGAGCTCACCCCGTCGTGGGGATTTGAATCACTGACCTTCTGATCAGCAAGTCCTAGGCTCTGTGGTTTAACCCACAGCGCCACCCGCATCCCAGTACATAGATACATTTATCAGTGAATTCTTACATTTGGTATAGTGCAGCAAAGGCCCTTTGAATAGATAGGAAGACTAGAAGGAAGACTAAGAGGACTAGAAGCCTCTTCAGTGCAAGCCCAAGAGTAGAGGTGGGGAGCCTCGGGCCTGGGGCCAAATGTGGCCTTCCAGGCCTCTCAGCCTAGCCCTTGGGATTCTTCAATTCCCTTGCTGGCTTTTCGGTGCTCCCTCTTCAAGCACTATGGGCCAATGGCCCATCTAGCCTGGCATCCTGTTCTCACCAGAGGCCCCCATGGGAAGCTCGCAAGCAGGACTTGAGCACAAGAGCAGCCCTCTCCCCTCCTGGCTAGAAATGTGTCCTTGAAACCTCTGACTTTTGTGGGGCCAGAACGCACCCAAATGCACAAAGCAAGTGCTACATCTTTTGCCTGCTCACTTTTGCCTCATGCCCTGCCCACTGCTGGCCCAGACATTTGGTAGGAGGAGACCACTGCTTCAGGCATTAGAAGTCCCCTCCAGCAGCACACCCACAGTTGCCTCCTACCGCCCCACTGCCTCTGCCATCAGTGCCAATTTGGGGAAATACCGCATCTGTTTGGGGCAAATTCTCACCTGATTTCTGCAAGCTGATTTCCCCAAGTCACCAGTAGATGGGGCAGAGCACAAAGCGGCACTTTCCGTTTCACCTCAAGCAGTGAAGCGGGATGCTCTTCCCTCGTCTGAGGGAGTGAGACCCTTAGGATGACAATGGTTCCCTGGCTTCCCTGGAGGATCTGACTCACAGATGTCATCCAGGCATTAATTATACTCAATGTTTTACCCCAGTCTTTTGGAAAAGTAATCTGTGTGTTTTCTCTTTCTGTATCTCAGGGCAGCTGGGGTAGCAGATCTTGCAGAGGCTGGAAAAAAGTGACCGGAGGGGATGCCCTCCACGTCACTTGCTTGAAAATCCAAATGGGTCAATGGGCCTAAATAGGCCAGCAAATTCATGGAGGACAAGGCTATCAAGGGCTACTCTGCCTCTGAATGCATTCCCTTCAACATGCTGCGTCTAAAAACCAGAATGTGCATCTTCCTGTCCATACTCCCGTGCGAGTCATGAGACCGGCACAAGATCACAGAGCTTAACAGACATACTTTTCTCAGGGCCATGCTCTCACGTTTTGCAGTGCTCCATGTGGGAATGTTCAGGGATGCAGGAGAGGATATATTGTTTGATTATATCCTTTCCAACTTGTTTTAACAAGTTCTACAATTTAGCAGAGTAACATTCCCCTTTTTAAACTTGCACAGCAGATGCGTTTGCTTAGGTTCACTAAAGCAAGCCTATAATAAGTTTTCCTTTGGGTAATTTCCCCTTTAAAAAGGTAAAGGTACCCCTGCCCGTACGGGCCAGTCTTGCCAGACTCTAGGGTTGCGCGCTCATCTCGCTCAAGAGGCCGGGAGCCGGCGCCGTCCGAAGACACTTCCGGGTCACGTGGCCAGTGTGACTAAGCTGCACTGGCGAGCCAGCACCAGTGCCGCACACGGAAACGCCGTTTACCTTCCCGCTATAAAGCAGTACCTATTTATCTACTTGCACTTAGGGGTGCTTTCGAACTGCTAGGTGGGCAGGAGCTAGGACCGAACGACGGGATCTCACCCCGCCGCGGGGATTCGAACCGCCGACCTTACAATCAGCAAGTCCTAGGCACTGAGGTTTTACCCACAGCGCCACCCGCGTCCCATAATTTCCCCTTTAGTCCCTCATAAAAAGATAGGCATGACACAGTCTTCGATAAAAGCAAAAAAAAAGAAAAGAGTTTACTCACACATTCTGTTCACAATTGGATCCCAGAAGGCAGACTTAAGTTAGAAAAGTAATATACACCTGGAAACTATCCCATAAGAAGACAGTTCCTTTGTCCTCTCTTGGCTGCAAGCATCTTAGGCTAAGCAGATGTTGCTTCTTCGACGAATGTGGTCAGAGAGAGAGAGAGAGATGGCGGACCAGTCCTGTTCTTTTGTTACCTGGGCAGGTGAGGTCACGCCCACCTCTAGTCATATGCAGAGGAAGTCTGTCCTGCAGGAGAAACAGGAAGTTCCGACTGGCTGGTCCAGACATCCCCTTTTATGTCCACTCTAGTGATGTTGTACTTAACTGCTCTTGTGTTTCACATCCCACACTCCACAATATCATGGCCTTTAAAAAAAGCATTTTTGGCTGGATGAGATCTCAGCACAAAATCACAAGAGATCACAATACCCAAAATAGCCACCATGCTCTTGAGGGGAAAAACAGGATGTTCCCTTTTTTCAGGACACTTGCGGGGTACAGTGGTACCTCGGGTTACAGACGTTTCAGGTTACAGACTCCGCTAACCCAGAAATAGTACCTCGGGTTAAGAACTTTGCTTCAGGATGAGAACAGAAATCGTGCAGTGGCGGTGCGACGGCAGCAGGAGGCCCCATTAGCTAAAGTGGTGCTTCAGGTTAAGAACAGTTTCAGGTTAAGAACGGAATTCAGAACGAATTAAGTACTTAACCCGAGGTACCACTGTATGTGAATGCCAGTTGCTGGAAACCACAAGTGGGGAGAGAGCTCTTGTGCTCGGGTCCTACTTGCAGGTTTCCCATAGGCATCTGGTTGGCCACAGTGAGAACAGGATGTTGGACTAGCTGGGCTTTTGGCCTGATCCAGAAGGTTCTCATGTTCTTATGACAACCCCTCTAGTGGTGGTGGAATGCGGAACAGGTTCTCAACAATGAGGAGAATGGCTCTTTGGCAATCCATTCCATTGATTTCTGGACCCTTCCTGCCAGATGCAAGAGGGTGGCACAGCAGCGATAACTCCTGAACACCTCAGCAGTGAAGATGAAGACAGCCCTCCAGAGGAAGTCATTTATTCCATCAGGACACCTATCAATGGAAAGGTTGTGTTGAAGCCATCGCCTACCACCTCGGTCCAACGGTTCACACAGGCCCAGATCAACAGCCAGCTTGTTCAGTTCATCCATGAAGGTATGCAGCAGAAGGAGGGAAAGCCAGCTAGGTGGATGGGGAAATTAGGGCATGGGGACATTGGAAGCTCTCTTATACCTCATCAGACCGTTGGTCTATCTTAGCTCAGGACTATCAACACTGACTAGCACTTGCTCTCTCGGCCTATAGAGAGGAGTCTTCCCCTCCACTACCTGATGATGCCAGGGACTAAACCTGAGACTTTCTGAAGGCAAAGTATGTGCTGCAGCTCTCCACCACCAAGTAAGTGCAGGAATGTCTTCTCCCAGACCCTGACATCCTGGGCTTCATTCTACAGGGTCCCTGGATGGAGGCTTTTCCTTTGACTTGTCTGATGGGGAGAACATGTCTCCCGGGCACTTCTTTGCTGTGAGGGCCAAAAAGAAACTGGTTATCACTCTGGAGAGCAAGAGAGATCTGGTCGTGTGTCCGGGTAAGTTATCTGCAAGGCAACTACATGGGAGCATGGATAGAGCTAATCTGTTGATTTGTGTTTCTCTCAGTTTCTCATTTTTTTTCTAAACTTAAGCTCACCTCTCCACTTCCCCACCTCAGACTGCATTTTTTTAAAGTCACTGTGAGAATTCACCAGCATTTTAATGTGCACAAATTTTGCTGTAAAATTTCCATAATTTACACAGAATCATAGAATTGTACAGTTGGAACGGACCCCAATGATCCTCGAGTCCCACCTCCAGCAATGCTAAAGAATATCACACAACCTCTCAAAACTTTGGGGGAACAATTTTCTTGTTTCTTTAGGAGTGAAACTGTGGGTGAAGCTTTTACTACACCACCTTCAGATGCTCAGCTCCTCCTAACCATTTCTTTCCCAGGCTCTCTTCAGCCAATCAGGAGCCAGAACCTGAAAGCAGTGACCAATGATGAGGCAGAAGCCCAGTCGCTCTCTTACATCATAGAACAGCCTCCAGGCTTTGGCAAATTGGTGAACAGCCAGAAGTGGGAGGACAGAGGGCAGCTGAGCAACTTCACCCAAGACGAGGTAGAAGTCTTAGCCGCTTCTTTCTTGATGTCCCTCATGGTATCATACCTTGATTTTGAATAGAAACACAGGAAGCAATGTTTACTGAGTAAACTGAGTCTGGCTATTGTCCACATGGACAGTATGGGTTGACTGGTCTACAGCTACTGCAGGAAAAAACTCAAAAATCAAGGTATACTTGAGGACAAACAAAGATTCATTTTCAATTAAGTGGCAAAAAAATATTTCATATCTTAAAAGACTCCAGTAAGAGATACTATTATCTGAAATTCTTACTAACCTCCTACCTTTAAGGGAAGGTTAGAAAGACCTCAAGGGCAACAACATGTTTATAAAACAACAAATATTTATAAAAACAAATATTTTTATAAAATGTTATTACCCCACAACACCAATAATAATAATCATGTTTTGCAGGGAGTGTGACTGAAACTACCCAAATACATTATTTGTGTGTGTGCATTTTTATTTTGGTTTTGGTTCAGGTTTTCATTTTTCCCAGTGTGTTATTAAAATGTATGTTCTTCAAAATAAATACAAAGACATTATTGGTTTGCTTTCACAGAGTGCCTAACCCAGTTTCCTTCTTACACATATCCAATCAGGTGGATGCTGGGGTAATATCATATCAGCATGAAATGCCACAGGAACCTTTCTGGATTCTTGAGGACACTTTCCACTTCCGAATTTCTTCTCCCTCCATGATCTCAAACCTGTATGTCCTTGGTGTGTTGGTCTCCTTCAACATCAGCTGTCCTCACAGCTCCACTCTGTGGAGAAACAAAGGTAAAAGGAGAGTCAAGATGCCAAAACACACATAGAATCATCAAATTGTAGAGTTAGAAGGGACCCAGAGGGCTATCTAGTCCAACCCCCTGCAAAGCAGATATCACAGCAAAGAGAGCTGTTGTGAAGGAAAAGTTTGCTCCTTCCTAGGAAAGGCATGTGCTGTGATGTCCCTGTGCATAAAGGTAAAGGTACCCCTGCCCGTACGGGCCAGTCTTGCCAGACTCTAGGGTTGTGCGCTCATCTCACTCTATAGGCCGGGAGCCAGTGCTGTCCGGAGACACTTCCGGGTCACGTGGCCAGCGTGACATCGCTGCTCTGGCGAGCCAGAGCCGCACACGGAAACACCGTTTACCTTCCCGCTAGTAAGCGGTCCCTATTTATCTACTTGCACCCGGGGGTGCTTTCGAACTGCTAGGTTGGCAGGCGCTGGGACCGAACGACAGGAGCGCACCCCGCCGCAGGGATTCGAACCGCCGACCTTTCGATCGGCAAGTCCTAGGTGCTGAGGCTTTAACCCACAGCGCCACCTGCGTCCCGTCCCTGTGCATAAAGATGACTAAGTTCTATTAAAATCTAGGGAGATGAGGGGGCATTTGCTAGAAATAAATCCTTTGAATTCTCAGAGAACAGAAGCCCACATGGTGAGAACAGGATGCTGGACTAGATGGGCCATTGGCCTGATCCAGCAAACCCTTCTGATGTTCTTATTGTTCTCTTGATTTTACTTTCCAGATGAGCTGCAACCTTTCTGTAATCATGCTTTTTTCTTTTTTTTTCTTTTTTCTCCCACTGTCTCCCAGGCCTCACTGTTTCAGAAGCTCAAAGTGCAGTGGTCAACATCTCATTACTAGATGCTTCTAACCTTCTTGCTAAAGAACCTGCCTCCAGAAGAGCATCGTATGATGTGATATTTCTGGTGACGGAGCTACCCAGCCATGGGACCCTGTCCGTTGCCGATGGACCAGTTGATAAAAAGCATCCCTACTTCCTCCAGTCTGATCTTGCTGCAGGTGACTTGGAATATGCCCACCATGGACCCAGCACCCTGGGTGATCATTTCAGCTTTAAAGCCTGGCTCCGGCCCAGCACAGAGAGATCTATTCAGGCCCCACAAGAAGGGGAGGAGCCTGTCATTTCTGGGATGTTCAACATCACAGTGAGTGACAGAAATGAAATGCCACCCGTGTTGCTCACCCAAGGCCAGGTTCTGCAGGTCCTCCAGGGTTCCCCTGCAATGCTTTCTCAGGAACAACTGAACACCATGGATCCTGATAGTTTTCCTGAAGAAATCAAGTACAAGATCCTTTCTGGGTTATCCAGTGGCTTTGTAGTCAATATCCATGCTACGCAGGTGCCAATTACCCAGTTTACTCAAGCAGACATCAACGCAGGGCACTTGAGGTTCATCGCCAATGGAACGGACTCTTCTGGAGTCTTACACCTTGCTATCTCCGATGGACACAATCCACCCATCTTAACTTCTTTGGAAATCATAGTTCTTCCAGCAACCACCTGGGCAACAAATCAAATCCCGCTGGAGATACCACAGGGTGTCAACATGGCCTTCCTGTCTCGCAAGCACCTTCTGGGGGCCTCAGGCCAAGAGCAGCAAAATACCATCTATAGACTCATCAGGGACCCAGAGTTTGGTCAGGTCAATGTCAACCAAAAGCCCGTGAGGGACTTTTCACAGAGCCAAGTGGACAATGGAGAAGTGACATTTACTTTCACTGACTTCATCTCCCCCAAAGATGAATTCCAGTTCCTTGCCACAGCAGGAGATGTCAACATTTCAGGCATTGTGAATGTAATGGTCAAGGCCTTGGTCAAAACCCAACAGGATATCCTTTGGCCAAGAGGAGCCACCGTCCAGCTCAACACCGACATCCTTGACGCAAGTGAACTGGGCAGCAGGACCAAGAGCATCCCAGCCTTCAAAATCCTCCGAGCACCCCAAGGGAGCCATTTTGTGAAACTCTCGAGAGACAAAAGGAACCAGCCCGTCTCCACTGATGCCTTCACCCAGCAGGATCTTGAGGGAGGGCTAGTTGGGGTGGAGATATGGGAAAGAGAAGACTCTCAGGAAAACCTCCAGCAGGACAGCTTTCTGTTTGAGTTGGTGGCTGATGGGGTGCCCCCTGCTGTGGAATCAATGGCATACATCACTGAGGCCTTCAATTCCTCAACAGCCTATGGAGTGAAACTGCTCAAAGTGCCTGATTTCCAAGAAGGGGGCCAAAATCCCACAACCCAAAGCATAACCCCTTCTCTGCAGATGTTGACAACTAGGCGCCCAGAGCCAGAAAACACTGAGTATAACTCCAGTGAGACACATGTTCGTCCAACAGCATGGGCTGGGCACATAACAGTTACCAGTGCATTTCCTACGGAAAGGAGCACACTCCTTAGTTTCATTGAAGCCAATATGTTCAGCATCATTCTCCCCATCTGCCTCATCCTTCTGCTTCTGGCTTTGATCCTGCCCTTACTGTTCTACCTCCACAAACGGAACAAGACTGGTAAGCACAATGTCCAAGGCACACCCCCCAAATACAAAAATGGTACATTGGTTGACCAGGAGACTTTCCGGAAGACTGACCCCAACCAAGGCATCCCTTTGACAATGGTCAACACACTGGAGGCCAAAGGAGCAGGACCCAACTCAAAGGGGATAGGGCCAGGAGGCCAGCAGGATCCAGAACTGCTCCAATATTGTAGGACACCCAACACAGCCTTAAAAAACAGTCAGTACTGGGTCTGAGGACTGGAGCGAGGGACAAAATAGCCTGTCTTGAGGTGGAGCACCATGGGCTGCATGGTTTCCTAAAGATTATCTCACCTCTTTCTCCTCCTCTGCCTCCTCCTGTTGCCTGATTTATATATGATACAGTCCCTGAGATTCAAGGAAGCCCTTCCTGCACAGGTCAAATTCTTTCCTGATTCTCCAGACTTGGTTTTCCTCAAAGATGTTGGCTCAATGGCAGGGAAGTCTCCTGGAATGAAATAAGTGAGACCCTAACAAGGCTGTACATTTTTCAAGGGAGAATAGAAAATTGCAGATTCTCCTCTTAACAATCAAAGCTTTGTTGTTTTTTAAAAGCAGTTTTAAAGTTCTTATCAATGCAACAATGTGCTTGAAAGTATATGGAAATCTTAGAACCCAAAAGAGGAACCAACTGCGGTTTCCAAGGATTCATGAGTGGAACTTCAGTGTGCTCACATAGCTCCTCCTTGTGACTAGCAAAAGCTCAAATAAATTATGCAGAATACTAAGTGCTGCCAGATAAATTATGCAAAACAAGAGAAAGCATACACATTTATCTAATTTATGCAGATTTCAGAATCCTGTTTTTTCAGAGCGTGAAGGTGTCACAGAATAATTGGGATGAGAGTGCTTTTTGAAAAAAATGTTATTTATTAAGAAGACTTTGTGTGCAGCTTGCAAGCTTCAACCCAGCAGAAACTGGTGGGACATTTTTGCAGACTCTCTGGGGGTGTCCGCTCCCCTCTCATCCCTCCTCGCCTCTCCAAATTAAAAATAATAATACCTTTATTGTCAATGTACAACCTCCATCTCCAGGGATCAGTGGTGTGAGGGAGCACTGGGCTGCACTTGTGACATCACCAGGGCCATCCCTAGGTCTCAGGTTTAGCCACTGAGATATCCTGGCCTGGCAGCCCTAGAGGCAGGGGTGGGATTATGCTGTCGCCCCAAATACATGTGATTAAAAACAACAACAGGGAACAACCATGGGACAAGACAATCAATATCCAAAAATGACTTTCTCCCCCCTACTCCGCTGTAGTTTAAGAGACAAAGCAGCAGCAACAGCACAGGGAAAAGTTTGGTGACACCTTAATGGTGTTTATTAAAAAAATAATTTTTATTAACAGACCAATCAAATCAAATCACATTAATTACAAATTACAAAGCCAAATTTTAATTTTTTTGTTGGGGGTACCCATATTTCAGGTTCCGAAAGGGATCCAATCATCTTGTTGCTGATGCTTCACATATTTTTCCTTTTTCTTTGTGACCTCTGATAGTCTCCACAAGCGAGTTGAAACCAATTGTAGTCCTGTGTGGGTTTTTCCATTCATCCAAGGGTCATATTCAGACAGCTGCCGCTTTTCATCGCTTCCATAAATAAACACACTCTTGCCGTCTCTTAATGGTTGCAAAAATTTACAATTGCATCAGCTTTCATGGGACAAGAGTCCACATGGTTTTGAAAACCAGGTTGCTAGGAAAGGCAGGCAGCCACCCTTTCTTTCCTGTTTCTCCATGCCTTGAGCTTCTGAGCTGGAGCCAAGCCTACCGTAAGGCAGACTGAGTTAGTCCTGACTCAGGTGGCAGATCATAGAAGGCAGGATGTGGCGGCGAGGAGTTGGAGGACAGAGCAGTCTGTGCCATAAGGCTTGCCAGGCATGCCCCTAAGCCTCAGTTATGCCAGAGGACATGGGTGTTTTCCCAAGTCATACCCACACCATACATTTAAAGCACTCCTATAGTGCTTGAGCAGTCATGGCTTCCCCCAAAGAATCCTGGGAACTGTAGTTTGTAAGGGTACTGACCTCACAAACTTTCAGTTCTTAGCATCTTTAACAAAGTACAGCTCCCAGGATTCTGCATGACTGCTAAAGTGCTAGACAAGCTCCCAGTTTTAAGATTTAATTGCTAGTCCAGTTGACCAGTGTGTGGAATGCAAGGGACATCACTTGCGCTAGCCCTATTCTCAATGATTTAATCAGGCACAACTTTCCCTCAAGTGGGGCACGTCTACAGAAATGCCCATGCACACTTAGGTCCCATCCACAAAATGCATTTAAAGTACTCAGAGATACCACTTCTGAAACAGCTATTGTTTCTTGCTTGTTCAGGGTACTAGGAACTGTACTTCCTAGCAACTCTCTGCCCTTCACAAGCTACAGTCCCCAGGATTCTTTAGTGGGAATGGGAGGGAAGCCTGGCAGTTAAAGTCGCATAAGAGTGCTTCAGATGTATGGTGTGGCTGTGCCTTCACTTCAACAGCCCTCTTGGGGGTGAAGCTAAGAATCATAAGCAGCTGCCGAAGCACCATCTGCTCCTCTCTGCTCCAGTCACATGTTCTGAAACAAACATGGCATATGGCACATGACCCCACTGTGCTCTTGGGTTTCCCCTCCTGCCAATTAACATTCCAGGAGGAGGGAGGGAACTGTGATGCGTTTTGTTCTAGGACTCTGTTGGATGAGAGACCTGGTTCCTTCTTGAAGATTCCAGGCCCATCCTTGAATATTCCAGTTTCATTTTTTTAAAATCAGCTTTCTAGTCCTTTCACTTTTTGTGGCACTATAACATTCTACCTATAGCTTAGTGCACAGCTTCCTCGTGCTTTTAAGTGTCCCACCTATGAGCCAAATTTTATTATGTTTTATTAACCATTTAATGCAATGGCATAGCTTTGCATCTATATTAGGCTGTAGTTATATTTTGGCTGTCCTACAGTGGTTCCCTACCCAGTTATGGATATGGTTTATCACAAAATTTCTGGGTTTTCTTGAGTGGGTAACACAGGAACAAGCTGTCCCGCAAAACTCTGACTAGGGTACTGTGTCATGTGATTGAGGGTTGCATCCATACTCTCCATTTAAAGTACATGGCTTTCCCCCAATAATCCTTGGAATTGTAGTTTGCCCCTCACAAAGCTATGATTCCCAGCATCCATAACAAGCTGCAGCTGCCAGGATTCTTTGGGGAAGTCATATGCTTTAATTGTGCTTCAGACATGGGCTGTGGGTAAGGCCTCCTTAGGCAAAAAGGTCCTGTGAAGAAGAGATGAAGGAGCTGGTCATGTTTTGGCCTGGAGAAGACAAGCTGAAGGAAAATATGATGGCTGCCTTCAAAGAGCCAAAAGGCCACCAGAGAAGATGGAGCAGACTTGTGCTTGTTCTTCCAGAGGGCAGAATCAGAACCAATGGGTGGGAATAGTAAGAAATAAGATTTTGGCTAAACATTAGGAGATTCTTCCTAACAAAGCTGTTTCCCAATGGAACGGGCCATTTTGGAAAGGCTCTCCTTTGCTGGGTGTGTTTAAATAGAGGCTAGGGGCACGGTCAAGGGTACCTTCACCTTTACCCTTTAGGGGCATCTCCACACCAGACCAAAAACACCACACCTTTAAAGAATCCCAGAAACTGTAGCTTGCTAAGGGTGCTGGGAATTGTTGCTCTGTGGTGGGGAAGCTAAAGTTCCCAGGATTCTTTAAACAACGGGCATTACTGTTAAATGTGCTTTTAGATGTATGGTATGGATGTGGCCAGGGATGCTACACTGAAAAGATTCCTGCATGGAGTCTTGTTGACCTTTAAGGTTCCTTCCAACTCTAAAATCTCTGTCCAACAGCTCTTACTGTCAGAAAGTTCTTCCTGAGGTTTAATCAGAATCTCCTTTCCCATCACATGAAGCTTCATTGGTATGAGTACTACCCACCCTAGATCAAGTAAAACAATAGAAATGCTTAACTAACTGACCAATCACATTGGTTCTGCCCCCTCCCCCAACAAAAATCTTGGCCACACTCATGTTCCCACCACTGGTGTACACACAACATTAGTCTCAATCCTAATCTATCCTGTCAGTTCTTATGAAACACTGGATTCTGATGAATTTCTCCCCAAACCTGCTTCCATCCCAGTTGAGAAAAATAACAACTAGATGTGGTTCAGGCTCAAAGTCAATGAGAGGCAAACAGGTCCCAACTGCCCCATACATTTAAAGTGCTGTGATGCCACAGGCACAGCTCCGCCCCCCCCCCCCCCCGCAAAGGAATCCTGGGAGCTTTAGTTTGTTAAGGGTGCTGAGAGTTGTTAGGAGAATCCCTATTCCCTTCACGGAACTGCAATTCCCAAAGTTCCCTAGGGAAGAGGGATCAATTGTTAAACCACTCTGAAAATTGGAGCTCTGAAAGACACACAGAGGTCTCCTAACAATGCTCAGCACCCTTCACAAATTACAACTCCCAGGATTTTGGGGGGAAGCCATGACTGATTAAAGTGGCATGGTGCAAATCATGCAACTGTACGCACTTTTCAGTGCTATTTTTCTACACAAAGAGATGCCGGAATTCACCCTGAATTTTGTTCTCAAAGGGCAATGGTGCCCACCTGAGAGATGCTGGGACTGAGTTCTGGTGAGTTCCAGCTGGAAAAAAGCCTTCTTTTAATCCTGCTTCCAGTATCTTCCATTGGCGGAGTTAGCCGCTCAGGCACCCAGAGATGCTGGGACTGAGTTCTGGTGAGTTCCAGCTGGAAAAAAGCCTTCTTTTAATCCTGCTTCCAGTATCTTCCATTGGCGGAGTTAGCCGCTCAGGCACCCAGAGGTGGGGTGAGCTGCCAGAGGGGGGGGCGGGGTGATCGGCACCCAGGGGGATTTTGTCACCCCCCTCAGGGATGACACCTGGGGTGGATTGCCCCCACCGCCCCCCCTTCCTACGCCTTTGAACCCACCCATTCCCCCAATCATGAGATTTTGTTGTTTTGTTTTCTGAAGGCACTGGTGATATGGAAATATCCCCTCTTGCTACCAGCGTGAAGCTGAGTATGGATTTTTGTGGGCAGGTGAAGAATACAAGAGACTGACAGAAGGAAGCCATGCCTAAAAGCTAAACCTGACTATTTTGGTTTTTTAAAACTAAAAAAAAAACAGTGCTGGATTTATGTATAAGCTAAACAAGCTATAGCCCCACTCTCTTGGGGGCCCCCCAAAAAATTAAAAAATTAAAGGAAAAAAACCTGGATGTACATTTCCAAAATATAAGATAAAAAACAAATAAAATAAAACCTACATACAGCAAGAGTGTTTTGTGTTGTGTAGGCTCCTATGATGTAAGTAAAGGGCCCCATT